GTTGAAATGTTCTCTCTTTCTATGCTCGAAAGCATAGAAATCTCAACAACTAGTTTTGAGAGTGTTACCTTGCAACATAACTCCCCAGATACATCGAAATACTATCATTAAAATTATTTAACAAATTTGTGTACTTGGACATGCTTAAACGGAAGTTTTCGAGGAAATAACTGATATTTTGGTGGGGGGCCAAATCGCTAAAGGGGCGAGGTGGGGGGACCAAATCACTAGTGGGGAGGGCGAAATCGCTGTGACACCGGGTCACCTTCAGGCGTAGCCTCTACCCTCCCTGCACCCGTCTATGCTGGACAAACATTCTCACAAATACAATACCTCCGTAGTTTGAGGTAATAATTACTAACCGCAAAACGAGCCTTGGGCGAATGTTGACGTGTACATGGTGCCTCTCGCACTTGTGTCGACGTCATAGCCCATCACTGCAGAGGAGCCACCGCTGGTATCCCAGCATTCCCCGTCCTCGTACTTGCTGTAGCTGTCACATCGGTGAGACACGAACAAGCACGGGCTGTTGATGGATTCTATCCAGTAGTCCAGGGCTCTATGATGGCTGCAGCCCGCCCCGTCAACAAGGCCGCTGGCATCTACATTCAGAATAAAAACGCTTGAGACTTCTCATCACTGTTACATACACGTCAAGTATTTTTCAACCGCCCTGCTGTCTACTCAGTTAACAATCTTAACTACTAGGCAGCCCTCGAATCAGCTGTGTCACGCCATTTTGATGACGTAGGTTGTACCCCGTGGAAAAGAAGATGCACACTCACCGAAAGTGCCAGAAACCAAACTGGAGAGAGTATCCACCACAGGGTCCGGACAGTCCGGCTGCCTGGCCCCTCCGTTAGGGTAGAAGTCTACATCTCCCACCGGCGTCCCGATGCCGAAGGCCACGTTAAAGTGAGGAGTGTCCGTGTGAATGACGTCAACAAAGTTGGCATCGTCCGGGCTCAAACGAATCGCCGGATCCGCTAGTTCAAACATGGGTCCGGCTGGGTCCAAACCTAGAACAAGAATTTAGAGATCCCATCAGACCTCCATTAGATATTTCGATTTTGTGTGATGGTGACTGTGTCCTCTTTTCATTCACAAAAAATGGTGTCTACAAATCTTCCTTCGTCCATATCGCCTAAGGGAAGCTACACCAGCTATCAGCTGTCAGGAGGTCAACCGTAATTAACCTGACCTAAGAGCCACGCACACACACATACACGCACGCACACACACACACGCACGCACGCACACACGCACACACACACACACACACACACACGCGTGCGCGCACACACTCACACACACACACACACACACACGCGCGCGCGCGCGCACGCACACACGCACGCACGCACAAACACGCACACGCACACACACACGCACACACACAAAGTGACGAAAGGTGTCTGAGGGTCCAGGTCTGACTTCAACAAAACCTGGTCATACCTGTAATCCTGGCCAGCCCGGGTAGCCTGGCTCCGGCCTCCCCTGCCAGGTGTGCGCCCAGACTGTAGCCTATCAGGTGGAACTGCTCCAGGCTAACTCCCGTCTGGTCCACCAGGAACGTGACGAGCTTGGCGAGCTGAGCCCCGACCACCCGGATGTTAGATGCGGCCGCGGTGTAGTCCGGATACTGCACCCCTCTGGACCAGTCTACGATGATGTAGTTGACATCGTCCTACAAAAACAACATGTTTTTAACATTCACAAATATGCGATAAAGGGTTCCACCCCTGACGCGTCGCCAAAAACTCCACCCCCAAAACGTTCGCCTGAAATAAAACCATACATCCCTCTAACATCAACAGAAGATACTAGTGTTGTCTCTTATTACTTCCGTGTATTGTTCTGGGTGGGTTTGTGGGTTTGTATGTATGTTTGTCGGGAAATGACAGCACGTAGGTGGGGAATTGATATGCAGAGTTAGGGTTATTGTTAGGATTATTGTTTGCATGGCACTGCCATTATTTCATGATTTTAAGGAAGACTTGGTTCCTGCTAATTCTAGACAGATACAGTGCACTCCTCCCCTGAGTGTATAGTGAACAAGCCCTGGGGTCACAGAAAGTAGGGCCATCTTGGGCAGAGAGGTCTTCCCAAGGGTTTCCAGGAATGTGGGCATAGTTGTGGGTCAAAGACTTGCCTGTGGGCATTCCATTCCTGTGGACAAAATGCCTGTACCATTCCTAGAATTCTTGCAAACTGCACACAAACTGTACCATTAGGCTCCTCCCTGAGACGTCGCCAAAAACTCACGATACTTGACGGAAAATCTAAAATCTCCAATGTGCTGTTTTCTTACCTTCTTGTGGGTTTCCGCCATGGCCTGCGCAGCGCTGGAACTGACGACGTCTTCGGCAGTCTTGGCGCTGGTGAAGCCGTGGATCCACACCTTCACCGGCTTCTCGTGTTTGAAGGACGACAGTCGAAGTGTGGACGGATTGTCGAAGTCCAACAACTGTTAGTATGGAATATATAACAGCGTCATTCCGACTGTTATTTGACCTGTGCCGATATTGATGACCTTTATTGTACATTCATGCTACGTATGCGACGGACTAGGTACAGGTCAAGATATAACAGACACATAACAAAACGTAAATTAAAAAAAGTGAAGACAAAAGATACAATACTTGACTAAGATATACATACATAAGGAACATACAAGGGTACTATACTAGGCTAATACAAAGTGTTCTAGTCACTGAGCTAATATAGAGTGGTCAACTTTTTCTCGCTTTTATGTACAGTGGAAAATGTGGGAACAGATCATGTTTGTGATACAGGGTTTGTCTAGAGACGCATCAAAAATATAAATTTATCGTTTGCACTTACTAATAGGTGTTCAAAGATATTAGAGATTAAACTTGACTGATGTGTCCACCCCTGACACGTCGCATGATCTGATATGTCATGATTTTTTTTCATTAAAATGTATGTAGTGGGAAATAGTTTCCACAGCTGTGTGGCCTAGGGGCTATAGAATCTACTAGTAATAGTGTGGAGAGGATTGTATTCTAACTTCAAATTGCAATAGCAGGCACGTGTAAATACCTAACTTCAGTTACGTCCTCTTCGATGGGACATAAAGTCAGAAGTCCCGTGTTTAGGGAGAGCCACACCTCGAGCACGCTAAAGAACCCACCACACTTATCGAAAAGATTAAGGGTCCTTCCCGGTGTGAGTGGTTCAAATCTTTTAGTCCGGTCTTACACAGCTTGTACTTACTGTACACAACTAGTGTGTTGCACCTAAAGGCGGTTGACCGGTTGTGTAAAACAAACAAACAAACAAACAAACAAAGATCCATCTGAAAACAAACCTGTCTGTCCGCTACCATGGCGTTACTGCGAGTGAAGAGGTAGAACTTGGTGTCCAGCTGGTCCGGCGAGTCCGGCAGTCTGCCCGTGTTTGTGTAGGGCGCCTGGAGGGAGAAACACCCCAGGTCTCCGTAACACACCTGGTCAGCATCCTGAGCTAAAATAACAAACAAATGGAGCAATAAACCAGCTGGATTAGGATTCTGCTCACTTACGAATTCTTGTTGAAATTGCAACAGTGCAATACACGCGGAACAGAGGTAGCTGTTGCTGGTGTTCTGTCCCGCACATAGAAACGAATACTGGACAGACAATACTCATTTTCACTTGAGTCTAGTGGGGAAAGTCGTGTAAAGTGCCTTTCCCAAGGACACAAGATCAAAAATAAGATTATCAATAATACGGAGAAACAACAATCGGTGCCCCGACATTATTACGGACAGGCAACCGACAGTGTCCCGACAAAAATAAGATTAACAATAATACAGAGAAACAACAATCGGTGCCCCGACATTAATACGGACAGGCAACCGACAGTGTCCCGACAAAAATAAGATTAAAAATAATACAGAGAGACAACAATCGGTGCCCCGACAATAATACGGACAGGCAACCGACAGTGTCCCGACAAAAATAATATTATCAATAATACGGAGAAACAACAATCGGTGCCCCGACATTAATACGGACAGGCAACCGACAGTGTCCCGACAAAAATAAGATTAACAATAATACAGAGAGACAACAATCGGTGCCCCGACAATAATACGGACAGGCAACCGACAGTGTCCCGACAAAAATAATATTATCAATAATACGGAGAAACAACAATCGGTGCCCCGACAATGATCCCGACAGACAATCGACAGTGTCCCGACAACAATAGCAAGTAAATACGTAAATTACCGGAGTGTATGGGACAGGGTGGGGGGGAGGTAAATCTGAACAGCCGCCCTCGATAACAGGAAATCTTGAGGACAGAGGGGCAAGTTGCAAGCACATGTATTTCTGCGGGCTCTGATTGGTCAATTTTGGAAAAGTTTGAGCGTGGCCCATGCAATCCAAACGAGGCGTCCCCGCGTGATCCAAACAAGGAAATCACCGTGCACTGGTCAGCGTAAACCTAGTGGGCGAGGTCGGCTTATCGCGTCCGGCCTAAATTTCTATTTTCGTTTTCACGAAAATGAATTTATGCCTATCTCTCTAGCCGATACAACAGATTTTAACTAGCCAGAACAAATAGATCAACCAACACGATTTGCTCTTTGGCGGGAATAAGAATATTTTTAATGTCAGAATGGGATCAGCCCCCAATAAAAACAGTCGTAGGAAACCATGGTTCCCCACACTAGGCAACTCGCCTGGTGGTTCCCATGGGAATCGATATACACAATTTCTGATAGGATTTGTTATGTAAAGATAACATGTCAAATCTACAAATTTTCATACATCATAATACTAGTATTCTATTGTCAATCAAGAATTTTTTCCACCACCAAAGAGAGCTATCGCGATAAACATAAGGCCGAAAAGAAGCCCGCCAAACGAGCCCACTGAGGCGAAAAGAAAAACAGAAATGAACATGGGATAATTTTGGTCGAGTGTGGGATTGGCTTCAATCTCAGGCCGAGGGAGAAATGAGGGAGGGGGCAATATTTTTGCTCGCTCTACGAACAAGCGAGGTATGTGTGGTTTGCTGCTGCCAGAGCGCCCCTGATACTCTTATAATACAACAGATTGCCGTATGCGGACAAAAGTAGTCCGTCATCGGCAAAAAACTCTGGGCAGTGTTTGCGTACTAAACGCACATGGGCCCAAGTGGACATGTGCGAGGTGTCATTCACCTCCTTCCTCAGAGCTGAGAGATACACGGGTAAAGTCTGGTTATAAGGAATACCCGGTGGGTCGTATACCCGAGCCAGTGGTTCGCCAATTATAATATGCTGGGCAGAAGCCCTATTCCTGATCAAGGTCGCCAGACTAACAATACGCATGGCAACCAGGTCTGGCTCCCAATATGTGTCGCAAAGATCGTTGTGACCTAGTTCGAGGTACACAAGATCGGCGACGGGGATGGCGTTCAACAGGGGGCCGAAATTAGCCACTTTCCCCCCCGACCGCGACAACCACTTAACAATAGAATTTTCAAGCCAGAAATGTCTGTTGACAATGCGTCCTCCGGCCGTACTGGCTCGCCCTTCAACAAAAGAGTCAAGACGATATATGAAGGAATGGCCGATCACCAACATCCGCCGGGTGGCGGAGGTAACGGGACACCCCCCTTCCGCCATGTTTGTTAGACGAACAAGGAATTCTCTCCTCGGACAAACAACAAAAAGGAGGTCAAAACAACGACTTACTGCAATGAGGAAGTGTCCCGAACGTGACCAACGAATGTGAATGAAGGTAGAGTCCGAAATTCGGCAACAGCCCGGGAAAGACAAAAGGGAGTGCGGGTAAACGGAGGTAAATCTGAACAGCCGCCCTCGATAACAGGAAATCTTGAGGACAGAGGGGCAAGTTGCAAGCACATGTATTTCTGCGGGCTCTGATTGGTCAATTTTGGAAAAGTTTGAGCGTGGCCCATGCAATCCAAACGAGGCGTCCCCGCGTGATCCAAACAAGGAAATCACCGTGCACTGGTCAGCGTAAACCTAGTGGGCGAGGTCGGCTTATCGCGTCCGGCCTAAATTTCTATTTTCACTTGAGTCTAGTGGGGAAAGTCGTGTAAAGTGCCTTTCCCAAGGACACAAGATCGGTGGCATGTCAGGACTCGAACCCGGGACCTCTTGATTCCGAGTCGCGCACGCTGCCGTTGCGCCACACGACCCCACAAACACTTACTTTCTGCTCACTTACATCGTACGATTGTTGTACAATAGCAAATTGAGGGCGTTCTTGTGTTAGTCGTGCGTGTGTCGTAAAAATTCATCTTTCTTGCTAGGATTATGGCGAAGTCAGTTTCGTCCTAAGCCGTCGTACGAGTGATTTTGATGCCGTACTGACTGTGACAGATCATAGTGATCTAAGACAGGAACAAGACAAGCTGAATTTTGCAGGACACATGCACGACTATCCAAAGAACGCTCCCAGTTTGCGATCCTACGACGATCGTACGACGATCGTACGACGTATGAGACCTGGCTCTTATGGAAAAGGCTGTCTTAGATCCTTGTCGGCGGTTGATTCTGCCACAGTCTGCTAGAAAAATTCTATGACATGCATCAACAAGCTCGGCAAAAAGCACTCTCTACTTTACTTCCTTTACTTTGTTGAAGATACAACAATGCATGGCACGAGGTAGCCAGTCAGCAATAAGGCAAGTAGCGGCTACCACTGACAGGTACAATATAGCATTAACGTATTACTGTCTACGTAGGTACAGTATCACCTCTCACATCTAAAGAACAGTTGCTACCAACAGAATACAGAATTTGCTTCTTCTCCTCTGCTTTGGAAAGAACAACATGCAAGAGAACTATGTATATATAATATATAAACATGTAATAAAAGATGCAAGATGCATGTGATAAAGTTTGAACTATTTTCCTATTGAAAAACCTGGTCTTACCGATGGCAAACAGCAGCGATACCGCGAACACTGATATGGTAGACCACAGGGCCATGGTGAGAACAACCTTAACGTGGAGCCGCGAAATAATCCAGACGGTCTGTCTTTCGTGCTGAGACGTTATCGAAGTTATAAAGATAAGAATTGGGTCATCGCACTGATAACAATGTGTAAATTATTTGTAGAAGACTTAAAATGAGCCAATTAATGGTGTGAGTGATATGAGTTTCACGTGTGGACCCGTGTGATCTTCTGTATCTGCCTAAACCCACGTGTTTTTGTACGTTCGTTGTCCTAGTCCAGTATCTAGGTCATTAGAGGACATTGACTTTTCGTCATTCAGTCAGCTTTTTTAGATCCGATGAACGGTTACACATTTAAAGTAGTTCATTAACTACCTGTGTCGGAGAGGATTTGTAAATATTGCCCCTCAAATGCAGTGGAAGACGAAAATTCATTTCATCTCTAGTTGTCCATTTTATGACGACATCAGAAAGCAATTATTTAGCACCGTGTCCAAAATGCTCCCTTTTTTCCCGGCCATTCCCTACCACGAAAAAACAATTTTACTACTAAAATCAATGAACCCACATATTATAGAAGAAGTGGGTAAATTCGTGTTCCATTGCCTAAAAAGAAGACGTCAAACCCAGTAAAACTAGTACCTTGTATGTTGTAGACTATAGTATAATGTTAGACGTAGATATAGTCTCACATACCACTGTGTTTTCTTTCTTATGTTGTTTGTAACTGCAATTAGCCCTCGGGCATGTATTTGTAATAAACTTTCTTTCTTATTAAAGAGACAAGGTGGTCTTGAGTTAGGGTTGTTTCCTCAGAATCTGAAGGTTCTGGGTTCAAATCCCTGACAGGCCCTAGTCCTGTGCCATTGGAAAAGGCATTTACACCTATTTCCTCACTTGACTCATATGAGTACACAGTATTTGGGACGAGATTATTGTGAATTTATCGCTGATTCTGTCAATTCTTTTTGTCAATACTCCCAGAATGCAACAGAATTACATGTAGCAGGAAATAGAAGATAGGTAATGAGATAAACTTTCCTGGAACCTTTGATCTCTCTTCCTGTAAGTGCCTTTGACGTGCCCAGGATTTGGAAATAACTGCTGCATTTTCCCTTTTGTTCCCATAATGCAATAGGCGTGCATATAGCAGAGAATTGAAGACAGGAAATAAGATAACCTTTACTGGAATCTTTGACCTAACTTTTTGTCAGTGTCCCTGACAGGTAGAAATAACTACGGAAACACAAGCAAACACACAAACGGACACACCGAAAAAACTACTATGCATGGAGATTAAATACGATATCATCTTATTTGTAATTCTACTGATCTGTTTGATATGTCATTTTTAATAGTATCATTTAATTTTGCATGTCGCTAAGTTAACCTTCAAAAATGTGTGAATTGTCCGTTGAACATTTCCAACACACGTCTGCAGCCTTAAGAGAAGATTTAGTACATTATCTGACTTCGGTACAAAGGAGCCTTCAAACATTGTCTTTCGCAAATAGTTACACAGCAGATTACTACCAAAGTATCAGTGAGATATCGTGTACACTATTAAGATGCTAGAACTACATATCAAAGTGGTAAAGATAGTAGTAAAATACAGGCTATGTTGTTGTAGAATAGAACTAGTCGTTTTCTTGTACATTTTAAACCAAGTAACTACCAGGGTTCCAATATAGGTCTTTCGTCTAGAAAAGATTGAGAGACCGTGGAATTCTTCTTTTCACCTAGATGCAAATTAGCGTGTTTTTTGCACATCTAAATAATACTACATCTAAACAGCACCACATCTAAACGCATTGTTAGCAGTAACACCTTGTGCACAGTACGTCAATAACACCTAGCGTCAGCACATAGTGAATTAGCAACACCTAGCTTTAGCGCAGAGTGAACCAGTATCACCTAGGTTCAGTGTACGGTTAATCAGTAACACCTGCTAGCTTCAGTGTACTACCAGTAACATCATGCTGCAGTGTACAGTGAACCAGCAACACCTAACTTCAGTGTACAGTGAACATGTAACACCCACATGTATAGCCTAGCTTCAGTGTGCAGTGAACCAGTAACACCTAGCTTCAGTGCACAGTGAACCAGTAACACCTAGCTTCAGTGCACAGTGAACCAGTCACACCTAGCTTCAGTTCACAGTGAACCAGTAACACCTAGCTTCAGTGCACAGTGAACCAGTCACACCTAGCTTCAGTTCACAGTGAACCAGTAACACCTAGCTTCAGTGTCACAGTTAACCAGTAACACCTAACGTCAGGGTACAGTGCACCAGTAACACCTAGCTTCATTGTACAGTGAACCAGTAACACCTAGCTTTAGTTCACAGTGAACCAGTAACACCTAGCTTCAGTGCACAGTGTACCAGTAACACCTAGCTTCAGTGTACAGTGAACCAGTAACACCTAGCTTCAATGACAACGAAAGTGTTGTTCGGAGTAATTATTTTTTAGTACAATTCCCAAATAGTTTATTCTAGATAGGGGTTAAACAAGAGGCTGTGAATAAAGAACTTTTCTATTCAAGCATTCATCAAACTCATTAATTATTCATGCAGCACCACTTCTTATCTATGTGAAAACGTGGCCTCAAACTTGTATTATCGTTGTTACATGTATAACCTTTTTTCAATTAAGAATTAGTCAAACGGCAATGGTCAATGAAACTAACGATCTAAGAATACAATGTTCTGTTGAGAATTATAACTACGTATGGTACACGATCTTTCAATAGAATGGCGTTTAACTGGTAAAGACTACCAAAATAATGCCTTAATAAAGCTGAATGTTGACTTCTTTTATATGGATAAAATTATGAGCATCTACGGGTATACGTTTGCATGATTTACGTGTAATCTAATTATGATTTATTTTTGTCTTTATACCTGCAATGAGTAACGTTACTTCTTGTAAGCACGCTAAGTAATTATTTTTTGTTATTTTTTAAAATTTCTCAATTTGTGGACTAGTTTTTGCCTAATGTACTCATTGTGTAACTTTGTACATGTGTGTATCCAGTTTTTCGTCATATCTTCATAAGTATATCTCCATCCAAATATTGATTAAAGAGCGGCTTACAGATATAAGACGATTATAATTTTAGGAACAAATAGAACCTGTGTCATCACTGCTGTTGTTTCTCCCATCAGGGTCCCAGGCTACCCAGAAGTCTTTGCGCTCTGGTCGGAACGCCTGGAGACAACGTCTAATTTGGAAATTTCCCATGATGCAACAGTTCCTTACTTCCTTACCTTGCAAAACATAGAAACCTTAACCTATGACCTACTTTATGTGTCTGTGTGACAGAGGAACATTGCATTTTTTGGTGGGGGGGGGGCACAAAACAAGCCTAGTCCCAATACAGAAATAGCAACATAGAACTCTTCCTTAGGGTTGGAACATATTCCTTTAAACAAAATTATATCTTTGTTCTAAATATTTTGCAATCCAACTGCGAACAGACAAGTCACCCATGGGCTTCTGGAAAATAACACGAGACAGATAGAGGGCGATACTAAGAGTAGTACATTTTTCTGCACACTGGTCAATTTCTTCCCTTATGTTTTGGCCGCACCCAGCTGCCTTTATTATGGTGTAATTATGAAAACCTGCTTTTTGTACATTTTTGTAGTCATGTTTGCAACGAAACGTAAATTGATAAACTGATGCTTCTTGTCCTAAACTCATGATTTTTTGTACTGCAATTTTCTAGTAGCAGTCGTTCTTTAGTTCGAAAAAGTCTTTCTTTAATTCGCTTACTCTCCAAGCAGACGTTTGGGTTTTAGGTTATTTTTGGCGCGTTTTTAGACTTTTTTATCGGGATTTCTTTTTTTGCACTGGAATTTTTCTTTTACTGGGCAAAAAAGAAACCCCGATAAAAAGTTTTAAAACACGCCAAAAATAACCCCCCAAACCCTAGGCTCTGCTTGGAGAGTAGCCCACGCACGCAGTGACGTGACGGAAAGTACACCTGTTTGTTGTTTGTTCCTTTCGGACGATCGCCCTTCACACGTCCGCGCTACATCCGATGTTGTCATGTTTATGTAAGCGTGAAACACAAGTCATGCTTGTTGAAACGTGAGCAAAGCTGACCAGAATAATGAAATGAAATACCTTTATTGTACATTCATGCCACGACGGGCTAGGTACAGGTCAAGACTTAACATACACTTTGCAGACGTATGTAGAAAATTGGAGACAAAAGATGCACTACTTGACTTAGACAGACATAGATAAGGAACATACAAGGATACCATACTAGGCTAAAGTGTTCTAGTTACTGAGCTAATACAGGGTGGTCAACTTCTCGCTTTTTTGTACAATGGAAAATGTGGGAACAGATCATGTTTGTGATACAGGGTTTGTCTAGACGCATCAAAAATATAAATTTATCATTTGCACTTAGGTGTTCAAAGTATGGGAACTTCTCTTTGATATGATGGTTACAGTCCTTTTTCACGGAGTATATACTTATTATGAATATTATAACCAGGCATCAATATAGGTATCAAAATTCATTGATAGGAATTTCTAATCTAAAAGGTATAATTAAGTCTGGTATTTTCCATGACCCCTACAGAAATATCTGTGAATGATGTACTTTTAATTTGTCATCCCCTCCTTAATTACACACACTACCTTGATTGATAAGTTTTATTGAGTTGTTTCGTCCCAAATGTATCTTCCATTATTGAGCTCTGCCTGTCAATATGCCTGTTGGTGTAGGGACTAAATTTAAACACTTTGACTCGGAATTGCCAAATCAAAAGAAAAATTAACAACATTTTGTACATAGGTGGCGCTTCAATACAGCTTCAACCAAAAAGGTAACGACGCTACTGTAGTGCAGATCAAGTTCAACAGGCGGCGCTACTTGCGCATACAAATACATATACTTGTTCATGCAAATGCCCATTTCATGCATTTCGTCAAGAATTTTATGGCAAATACAAATGCATTTGCGTAAAGAACATTTCCACTACATTTTAGTAACCATCTATTTTTTTTTTATTCTTCCAACATGTAACCACCAGACGTGGTGACGGCACACTCAAGTTTTTTCAACTTATATTAATGCCGCCACCAACACAGGGACAGTACAATACTCATTTACACCTGAGCGAAGTGAAGAAAGTCGTGTAAACTGCCTTTCCCAAGGGCACAAGATCGGTGGCATGTCAGGACTCGAACCCGGGACCTTTAGGTCCCGAGTCGCGTACTCTGCCGCTGCGCCACACGACCCCCACAACCATCTATTCGGTGCAAATAGGAAAGTTAATCTTTCCACCCCAACCTTGCAATGCCAACTTTGATCAATTTGTGTTATCGATGTGTTATACATAGCCTTATACATTATGACCATATCCAATTACGGAATGACATAGCGTCGTCGTTGTAAGCGTTGTGGACGTTTCTATTAGCCTGGAAGACATCTAATCGATGAAAGAAACTCATTAATTTCACACTATTCTGACCATTGCTTGTTTTCTCATTATCTGTATTGAACTGTCCTATCCCTATTGTATCTTCAGTCGTATTGAAGTCGATATTCTGACGGAACCCATTTAGACCTGTCAGTGCGTTTGTTCCTGTACTAACAACCTGTCAACGACCATTCATCATGTGGCATTTTGTCTGTATAAATGTCAAATTATTTTTCAGTATTTTCTTTTGAAACGTGACCATCTTTCTGCAAACTCTATTGTCAATGGCCTTCGTCCTGTCCACCATATTGGGTGTCAATAAAATGTGTTGTAAATTCAGCTAAAATTTCACAGTAGATTCTGTATAGTAGTGCCCTGAACTGTGCGTTAGTGGTAAGAGCTTCACGTCTAAGTGCAGTGACGCTTTCTTCTTCTTCTTTCTACGCTTTGAAGCGTAGAAAGAAGAAGCTATGTTCCACACCTGGTCCACATTCCTGACACTGCCGAGGTTACAGTTTTGGTTAAAGACAGATGTAAATGTTAATGAACATAACTCTCAACTGAACTAACGTTTTAATAACTCACCTAACGATATCCTGGTCACACAAGTCAGAATGGCTCCAAGCAAGATTCAAGACTCAAGATCACTTTATTGAACATTGCAGTGTATCACTGAATTGCGTCTAATTTACACAATTTAAATACAATTCAATACATACAAACAGTATTTTACATAATAAAACCCATTGACAATTTAAAAAGACGGTAGTTAAAATGGCGATGGTTAAAAAGACACTGCACTTCTAAGGGATATAGGTTGTAATAAATATACATCTGTTCGAATAAGAAGTACAATGAAAGTACAGTAAAAGTAGCAACAGGACTCGTAATGACATTTTAGTAGTTAACAAACGGTGAAAGTTACTATTTCCCTAGTTCCTTTCCGGTATTATCAACGCCGCGAACATCTAAGATCTTGTAAAACCCAGACCAAGATAACATCCCATTTCCCTTTTTGCGACAGTCACTTCCTCCTGTGGCCTCGTAGTATGGTTGTCAATGACGAGATTATGTTAAGATTAAAGACCAGGTCTGAACGGTAATAATCAACCCTCAACGAGCGAGGGCCGATTTATTTAGTCCAGCCAAAGGTATGTGACACTTGTCACACTTTTTTTGACCAAGACGCTTCTTCTTTATTTATTTGTTAGGCTTACAAAGAAGCCAGGGTGTCCCAACTAGTCAAGGACTATTACTAAGGGACACCCTGTGGGAAAAATGGAAATTATTAGACATACATATAATGCATATTACAAACCCCTTGTCCTGCGGGGCCCATATATATATGGGTTGCACATACAGTACCATCTATATAGTGCCCTGTATATGTGCGATTTGGGGGTGTTTCTCGTGCAACGCATCACACCGCAGCGAAACGCAACGAATGCGGAAGTAACTACGCCGCCGCAGGGCAAAAAAAGTCAAGGGTCTGTGACCTGATTAAGACATGAAATTATTTGAAAATATTGTGTAAAAATTGCCAGCAGGACAAGGGTTACAATTTACAAAATACATGTTTAGTGAAATATAACTGTTACAACGTATGTACAATGATCCAATAATATACATACATTCTAAAAATACAATAATAGAGTCCTGGTATATACATGGTTGCCGAGGTAAAAAAAAAGGCAATATGTGTTATTATGCATATGTTTCTAGCAGGATATAAACAAACCTTTCATATGATAATCTATTGGATTCCAGGTTTGACTTTCTATCTTTTTAATGTGAGCATATTTCTGATTGACAAAATGCTCACCAACAATTTACTTGCCAAACAAAAGCCTACAAGAGTATATTTACAACATGCATGCACTTGTATAGCAATATGAATGCATTATGATCAAGGCTGTTTAAAGCTGTCAAACCAAGAAAGGACATTCCTATATTCTACGTAGGCAGTCAGAGTACAAAATATCAAAATATGTTACATCTTTTGCTAGGAGTGTAGAAGAAATTTGGTGTAAAACTCTATGTATATGTTTCATTATCCATTGTTATGTTACTCCTGTTATATGTGATAAAATATTCAAACTTCGAAGGAAGTTGACATCCAAGCAAATACATCTGTTGACCATAGCATGGTTTCTTCGTTTCCACTTCATTCTCATTCATGAAGAAGTGAAGCGTACGGCTGACAAGACAAAAAGAAGCAGTTTAGTGCATATGAACAGAACAAAGTGCAGCATAGAAGTATATATGTTCGTTTCAGATACTATTGATATATATATGTTAGACTAGATGTGACACAGGTGGCATCCAAGCAAGTGTGGATCTATCGAAAAGAAGGTAATCACGTCGAAGCGTCATCTCCTGTACCAATGGAAGGAAAAATGCATAATACTGTATGTCAATAAAGCGACTCACAGATATATTTCAACAGACTGTTACCTTGTGTGCTTGAATGATCCTGTCCAGGTTGGTTTTCAGTTGTGGGAAGGTCGGTCTGTCTTCTGGCAGAATCGTCCAGCAGTCTTCCATCAAGGCGAAGCTGTGCATGAATATTTAGATAAAGAAGAAGTTATTCATGTTTTGGTAGCTACTTTCCTAATTCTTTTTCAATAACCAGTGATACAAGTGGTAGAATTTTGAGATGTTGCTATCTCTAAAGGCATACTTACAGTTCATCCGGGCAGTACAGCGGCTTCTCCAGCCGGCCGCCATCTTTGATCATGTTCATCATCTGTTTACCCTTCATCCCCCCGTATGGCAGATGTCCTACACGGTAGATGTAATGAGTTAAATCCAAATCCAACACAAATACAAATGTGCATATTGATAACAACAAAAGTGACGAAACATGGGGAGAAGCTGTTTGGATAGGGACCTAGAGAAAGGCTTGGACATCTTCCATCTTTCAAGTTACATACTTGTTGTGTGGCAAAGTTGAAATATATAAATGAAAAAAGACACTACCGAATCTACAAATTATTAACATCATCATTTCGGACTAGTAACTCTTTGTCTACAGGTGTTGCTGTCTTCCATACATAATTGATTTTCTTCCACTAATTCCAAACAAATATAAAGATATTATATTGATATTAGAAATTTAAATATGCTTACCCATACTCATAATCTCCCACAAAAGAACACCAAACGACCAGCTACAGAACAGAAAACAAGTATAAAAAAACTTAAACAAAAATACCATACGTGCACACTCACACACACGTATAAATTATGAAATTTCCAAGCATTATTGCATATAGTTTGTTGAAAGTGATACTATTTTGTATATGTTTTAAGATAATATCTCTAAAATTACTGTCACTATAGTAACGCACAACAATAGGTGTAAATCAGTATCATTTCTAGTACATTCCAAAAGCTGAGAGGAAGTTATTGAAAATGGTAAAATTATCCTCATACTCACACGTCACTCTGAGTTGTGTAAACGTTGTAGAACAGTGACTCATAGGCCATCCACCGCAACGGGAGCTTGGTCTGAGATAATATAAGAATACCAGCTGTAATCCAATCATCACATAAAGCTGTAGAACACTAGAACTTATGTCTAATTAAAGATTGTAACACTTGAAGAATTATTCACAGCCCTTACCTTTGTAGTCTTTACGTACTCTTCACTTTCATAGATGTCCCTGGACAGTCCAAAATCAGACACCTTGGCCACCAGGTTCTTTCCAAGTAGGATGTTCCTTGCTGCAAGGTCACGGTGAACACACTGTGGGGAGAAATTTGTAAAGTTTGGTATAATCACATAATGTGTGACAATATCAATCATTTTTGTAATCAAATCCATACATGGAAGGTACGATAACTTCCAAGTGACATAGTATGAGTGTTTTTATCGGAACATTGAGACGGCACACTCAAGATATCAAATTAATTCCATGCCGCTACAGACATAGAAAACAAATATTGTAACATAAAACATAGAACACGAAGAGCAACAATGTAACTTAATAGTTAAAATATAAACAAATAATTAAAGGTTTACAACCCACTCCAGGACTGTTATGAAATAAATATTAATAAATATAACATATTCTTTTTTTGTAATATATAAATACACTAGTGCACTATGAGGGTTTGGATACGTTACCTGCACGGCTGCAAGGTGGCTCATTCCAGCGGCTACATCGATGCCAAACTGGATGAGCTGTTCCAGGTCCATAACTGGAAGAGGCTGGTTTTGGTTCTCCGAGTTGTTTCTCATGGCCTCAACCGAGTTGGTCTTCAGCCAGTCTTTCAGGCAGCCGTTAGGGGCGTACTCAACCACTACCATGAAAGGCCCTAAAATATGGATGGAAATTTTGATTTATCAGAAGACCATAGATATATTTTGATCGAGTATTTATGTCTGTATTAGGCAACAGCTAATAGCTATTACCAACTACAGACGATATAATGAGACTTTGATTGAAGTGAAACTAAGTATGATACATAACTTACTAGTATCTTAAGTAGAAATAACTGGTAGTTGCTGTGTTTCTCTTATTTGTTCGATAAATTTCGAATTAGAACTTTATGTTAGCACATGGTTTCATAACACTCTTCAATACATTCTGCACTCATTGTCCTTGTAAGTTAGCAATTGCAAGACATTGCATACCGATCATGAGCATCCTCAATAAAGTACTGTAGTACACATGTAATACGTACCTCCTTTTGTGCACGCTCCAACCAGGGAGATGATGTTGTCATGACGACCAACAGTCACCAGGATCTCCAGTTCTCCCAGCAGGTCTTTCTTGTTACCATCAGATGCAGAGTCTGTGAGATTCAGACATTATAGTCTGTAAAAAAACCATGGTATCTACAACATATCAGGTCGCTACATACTTTTAGATAGATATCGATATTATTGACTGTACAAAATGTTCAAAACCAAAAACAATGATCCTGTAGGCAAGAAAGTGTATGTGAGTGAATCAGATGTTAGTTTCCACTTAACAAATTATTTGACTGGACCAGAAGGCATTGTAAAGATCGGTTGATCTCATTTACCTCTTAAAGTCTTGACAGCCACAGTGGTTGTCACTCCTCGGTTACGGACTTCTCCGAGGCGAACTTCCCCGAACTGTCCCCTACCGATCCGCCTGCTCAGGTTCAGACTGGACCGAGGGATTTCCCAAAAGTTCAGGGTCGAAATCGGTGAATTCGACGAAACCTGTAACGACAGAATAAACGTTGCAGCGTATGTGGAGGCAGGGGTGTAAATGAAAACAGGAAAACAAGCAATGAAACAACAACAAAAAAGCAAACCTGTGGTACTTCTGAACCGTTTAGTTCCTGTAGCACAGCTTTAAGTCTCGCCCTTGGTCCAACCATAGGAACAAGGTCCTTCATCATTGCGTCATCAAGATGGCGCAGTGCCTTTCCGTCTACGTCGTTCTCTGTAAACCAAACATACACAGAGGTCAATATTGGCAGATTCACCAAAATTGCATAAATATCCGGTCAGCAGCTCTCATAAGGATGTCAATCTCTTACGACGTGATATACGTAATTATGACATTACCAAACAAGAAATACTTCTATAAATTCTGAGTTTTATATTTTGTTTTACTTGTCAATTTGGAGACATATAGCGGATATCGTAACATTGCTACCCATACCCCTAAATGCCCTTGCACACTCTTGGAGGTCATTGTCGATTAGAAACCCCTGTACGTCTTCAACTGTGATGAGGTTTGCTAGTCCTGGTACCTGAGGAGAACATGTGTAATTCAGTACAGAACGGGTTATGAACATAGATATGCATCTCTATTGATGGGTGAAAAAGTAGCTAGGCTGAGTAAAAAAATAGATCTTAACGGCAAGTGCAATTGAAATCACACAGCTATAATATCCTAGGACGGGAAATTCTTACACATGCATCCCTGCCATTTTCTGGATCAAATGCTTCGTTAGTAGCACCACCTGTCACCGGCTGATCAACGATGTCTTTCAGTGGTACGTCTCTTTGTTTGGGAACGTTCTTATTCATTCTTCTGAAAATAAAAGTTATTTGTCAACATGTATTGCTTTTCTGTTACTACATTTGGCCCACCGGCGATATATTTTAATTCATAGAAAAAAAAACAGATAGACTAATCATATAAAGGAAATGTTAGAGTACACTAAATTCATTTTCAATAATTTACTGTTTTGGTGTATGGCAAAGATCAAATCTGATTTTTTTGTAGTACTTCACAGCCGTGGGGAGTATGCATTGCAGTAGAGAAAAGTTAACATAGTGATAATTCCAATAGGTACGGTTGAGCTACGTTAACCTCAATGCAAAATTGTCGAGTTCTTGTAGTATGTCAGATCTACGAACATTCAGACGTATTTTACAGCGTGTACCTGCAGTAGAAAACGACAGCTCCAAGTGCACCAATGGCAAAAACAGCTGCCACAACACCCAAGATGATCCCTATAACTGGTACACCAGCTACCTTTTGTTCTGGAATACGATACAGAACATAGTTGAGAATATGCAGGGTTGGTGCTTAAGAGATAATATCAGAAAATTTAATGCTATACTCTGAGGTAGGCATATTTCTATATTAATCATTTGGCTAGGTCCTAGGATTTAGATAAAGAGGCAGGGGTCTAACGGCTGACCTGTACACCATGTACCATTCCCCTGGTAACCTGGATTACAGGAACAGTCAAAGGATCCTTCCATGTTGGAGCAGGTTGCGTGGATGTGGCAGTCATCAGCATTGGTATAGCATTCATCTACATCTGTAAAGTAGGAGATATATTTCAACGAATTATTATGAGCTAAATAATTTCTATATCAGTACTGCTAAATTTAATGACTATCTACTTAATATATGATCTTGACTCCATAATGCAAAGAGTAACAAAGCATTAGTGTATGCATAAAAAAATTTAGTGATATTCTATGTACCTGAACACGTAACTCCATCCCCAATGTATCCTGTATTACAGGTACAGTTGTAAGACCCGTCAGTGTTGGTACATGTAGCCTGGGTGTCACAGTTGTCGGTACCGGCAGTGCACTCATCTATGTCAGACTCTGTAAAAAAAAGCTTAGATGATAGCACAAATCATCTTATGAACTTAATCCTAAGATAGATGTTTCTATCCAGTGTGCTGTGGAACGTTATGTAGATTGAATGGTTTGTAACTTTCTTCTTTCTGTTGACATCGTTTCAATTTGTGCTGATATATACCTTTCTGCTACTAAAAGTTGTAACCACACTTATCATCGTCGTCAAATTTTCGAAGATAGATGTTGAGATCGACGGAACGTCTAGGAAACGTAGCCTGGAACCATTAAAGCCCAAAGTCATCCTGAAAGAGGTAACATCATCGCAGAAATGTAACAACGAACGAACAAAGGAAAGAAAAGGAAAGAAACAGCAAAATATTTACGCAAATTGTTTTAACGTACAAGATAAATCATTATATGCAATCAACAAGTCTTTGAATTCAATTCTTGCCGTTGGTCTTCTACTGGCGCTCTTAGAATTAAAAAAAAAACCTTAATAGTATACACACATACACAACTTAATAGCAACTAGAAAGGCCAATATTTGCTTTGGAGCAAATACAGCGATGGGTTCACCACATTTTACCACATGGCAGGGAAAGAATGAGAAACACAAGGGAAAACAATGATTTACATTGATATAACTATAATATGAAGTAACATACAACTAAAACAACAGTTGGATAGCTATTCCCTAATTTATTGGTTAGGATTTTTAATTGCATAATGCAAACTGTTGATTTTCAAAATAAAATAAAAAACGTTCATGCCCCGCATTCCAATGCTGGAGCAGAAAAGCTTGAAATACCTACCAAAACACTTGAATAAAGACATACTGTCAGTATGGAAATGCTCTGTGCAGGTGTTAATCAAGTTAAATCCCAACAGCCAATCAGCAAGAAATGCTCTGTGCAGGTGGAAATGCTCTGTGCGGGTGTTAATCAAGTTAAATCCCAACAGCCAATCAGCAAGAAGTATAGAGGAAAGCTGCATGCCTATTGGTTGATGCCCTGCATTCCATTGTGATGACTCATGCCCAGACGTGATAAACACGGCACACTAACACAGTATTACATTTGCTATAACACAGCCAAAAAACTCAAATAAAACCATTCTAAAAGCCTGTGTCACAAAAATTTAAAAAACGCCTAGGGGTATTTGCCCACTGTACCTCCATACCAAATTTCAGGACCTTAGGCCCTAAAATGAAGAAGCTGAATCCATTTAAAGATATGGCAGGAGGAGGAGGAGGAGAAGGAGGAGAAGAAACATCAGAAAAAGCAATATGGGTTCACCACCACTTCGTGGTGTGGTGAACCCATAAAAATATCCAGTGTACCGGGGTTCGAACTCGTAATGTCTGGACTTGCAGCCCTGCGCGTTACCAACCGAGCTATCTGGACACGTTTCCATTTCTCTCTGCATTGTATGTCATATAAAGTGAACAACATGGCGGTAACGATCGCTTCAAGTACTAGTAAGGGACTTTCTAGGAGATACACTCTACAATTTTGGTGATTCTTCAGAAATCGATAACAGAATATATAATACTAGTCGGTGAAGATTGTGGAAAATTGTTGATACCGTGGCGCGCGCGCGTGCGCCGACGATACACATTACGTACCGTTGTTTACAGTACTCGCGGGGCGCAGGTCATTGACCTCCCGCTTGCGTTGTTCCAACAGAGAAGAGCAAAATATCTGCCAGTTTTGCATCAGATTTTCAGTGTTTGTTAAAATCATATACAGGCATCCATGCAGCTATAATTCTTCCAACTAGTTCGTAGTTAGGTGAAATGCTTATAGGAATCACACGAATCGGTATCCAATATCAGAGTATCATGGCCCACGGCCGAGACCGCGTGGACCAGCTGCGCTGGTACGTGAAAATGGTAGTAAATAAATTAATTAGCCAACAGCCAATCAACAGCCACATCTGCAAACATGACCACACCTGCTTGTATGCCCATATTTGGGCCTTCCCCCGAATTCCTTTCTTATTACGTCACGCGCGTACGCCCCCACAGTACTTTCCTATGGGGACCACTAAAAAGCAAATAAAACAATTGTAAAAGCTTGTATCAAAAAAATTTAAAAAACGCCTAAGGGTATTTACCCGCTCTACCTCTATACGAAATTACAGGTAATTTCGCCCAAAAATGAAGGAGTTGAATCAATTTAAAGAAGTGGCAGGAGGAGGAGGAGAAGGAGGAAAAGAAACATCAGAAAAAGCAATATGGGTTCACCACCACTTCGTGGTGTGGTGAACCCATAATAAAGAAATCATCCTATGTCATTGCCAGGCCCTGCAAATTTGGACTGTAAATTAAGCACCTGTATGAGTATAGTTGGTATAACCACTTGTCGGTGTTCAGCTGGTTGTTTTAAAGACATAGTTCTCAGTATCTTAGTTCTGAAACCTAACATCGTAGCGATTTGATAGAAGATTTGTTCTTTATATTCGGTAAAATAAGTTCTCCTCTTTTCCTTTAATTTGTAACGACCTGTCCTATACCTGTACCTGTATTACAGTTGTCTCCCGCCCAACCTGTCTCACAGGTACAGGTGTAAGAGTTGGCGCCATCCACACACGTCCCGTGGATACATGGGCTGGACGCGCACTGATTGACATTGATGTCTGAAATACAAGACAAAGGAGTATTGTGTTGACAACATTGATACATTTACTACCTAATCTATCTAATTCTAATTGACATAAGAGTGCGTCGGCATTGAGACTCCCAGTTGGCACATTTAGGCATATTCTGATAAAATGTTTTATGGCGTTTAGAGAGGCCTCTAAGTGCAAAGGGTACCCCCTAACTCAGCCCGTGCTGCAAGATTACAAGCTGTTTTAGGTACGTTGAGAGATTGTTTGTAGAATTTTAAATGAACAGCTTCGCTTGCACAAGAGTTTGAAGTTTTGAAAGACCCCCAAATTTCTGATCCATAGAGCAAGATAGGTTTCACACAAGAGTCGAAAAGCTTGTTTTTAACGGACAATGGGGCTTCGGCTTTGTCAATGTAAGTGCAGATACCTAATTAATCAAGTTGTCCTCTCAAGAAACATCTAAAATGTCTCAAAAGGTGAAAGGTGATTATAAAAAATATCAGCTAACATGACATAGCAAATTTTAGATTAGTTGGACTGTTTGAACTGATAGTATAAGAAGACGGTCAAATCTCACCCCTACAGGTGTGTCCATCGGTGCCCAGACTGTACCCATCATTACAGGAACAGGAGTAACTTCCGACAGTGTTGGAGCAGACTTGAGCACAGGGTCCACGGCCGCCATAGGTGGAACACTCATTGATATCTTTGAATCATTGAAATATTAGAATAATCATATTTGTTAAATAGTAAACAAATATATACAGAATACCAATATCATGAGGTCATCAATATATATACAGATTATAATAGGAAAACATATCGACTTTGAAAACATCGCATTCTTGTGAACTCTCTGATAGGCATAGACCGACCACGTGTTGTGATTTTTGTTCCGATGAACATTACATCAAAATGTGCACAAGAGCACAATAGAAACAGGATAATTTCATATCGAGGAAACATCGGCATGCCACAAAGTGATGATAAACTGTACATCTCTCACCCGTGTCACAATTGTCTCCTTCCCAGCCTGATTCACATGGACAGGAAAAGCCGTTCACCTGGCTCGTACAGGAGCAATAAATACAGGTACAAGGGTTGGGGAAACAGAACTCTGCAAGGTAATAAATGGACGCGCCAGAGTTATCATGACGTACTCCTCATAGCCGATCACATAGCTAACATGTAAATGATATAATCTCCAGTAATTCGCCAATCTGCAAGTGAAATGTACGTCGTAAGAGTTATAAGTTGTTCAATATCCGTATGTCACTCCGTTCTGTTTGCCTGCAACAAATATCTCTCAATAAACGCCATTTCAATGTCCAGGCATGACTTAAGTTTGACAATGGGAAGTGTGCTTATCATTATTATTAACTCATCTTACCGCTCCGTTGGTAGTGATCAAATCTTGGGTTGGAATCCAGTGCTTGTCCGGCTGTGTTCTGGTTGTCTCCACTCAACAGACATCTCGCCGACCCACTGTCCAGGTCAAAGGACAGACAGGACCCAACTGAGAGGATCTCTTCTCCCAGCAGACACCGCAGTGCGCATGTCCGGGGACTCACAGTCGCTGGGGTGACAAAAACGTCGTTGTGACCGCCTAGGACCTGGTCGGCGTGTTCAGAGAAGAAACCGGCTATATCTGTAAACCATAGGCGTTTGAATTCGTAAATTGAAATGAGGAGAAACTATTGCTGTCTGGAAATAAATGATAGAGAGAATGAAATAATATGAATTTTGATATATTTTGATACGATTGTCTTATTTAGCAAAACGAATCCACGTATTTCTTGTGCATAACTATCAATAAGTATCCTACTGACGAATAAAGGAGGATCTACCATAATGCTCGAAACAACAACCGTAGTTTCATGCTAAACGTGTAAACGTGTATACGTTTAGTTAAGTTGCAATGAACGTATATTTGATGTCAAAATTTTTCTCATAATTAGTCTCTCACCCTTTGATCAGTCTCTCATAATCAGTCTCTCACCTTTCATCTCGTAATGGTCGAAATAACTGTTAAAAGTAAGTGTCAGCCCAGCTGTGACTTTGTTGTCCCTACTCAGCTGACATCCGGTACGTGGCTTGAAGTAGTCAAACGACAAACACTCCCCCTCCTGTACAGCAGTGGTTCCTTCCAGACACCTCTGGGCACATTCTTCAGGGGTGATACCGTCGATCAGCTCGTCATTATGGCCAGGCAAGGCTTTGTTCGGATTGTATTCAAACAGGTCTGTGAAATCTGAAAGCATTTAGTATTAGTAGTCTATTGGTATTACCAGTATCCCTGCAGTTAATGCTCAACAATGATACATCTTTGTAATAAATAATACACTATACTAAAGTCTGCACTATGTGTGTCTTCATATTTTGTGTGTTTTGTGTACAAGCATTGTTAATACTTGTACGGTAACATGTTGAAAGGTGTGTAATAAATGATATTATTGTGATTTTTCCCATTCGGGCACCCCTATCAAGCTCTCTGACTTTTCTTTTCATCATGAATAAAAAATGATCGTACGTCCTACAACCTCACTCCCGCCGCAGTACGATAGCAAAACACTGAAAGAATAGGCAGTGAAAAGCTATGTGTAGAACTTTGTGTATCTCTGCATTGACATTCTACTTGTACAGCACGTTCGTAATTGATTTCTGGCAACATACATTTAGGTATAAAAAGTACGTGCGTATAATTCTGTATCAAATACGCTCTTCACTCACCTGCTGAAATCTCTGTGAATGCAGTAATGATCAACAACATGAAAACTGCTCCTCTTCGGCATCGGTGAGCTTTGATTTCGTTTAATCCATAGGACCTTCCCATGGTGATTTCAGGAGCCAAGATTACATCTATCCGCCGAAAAATACCATGGACTAACACGGAGGAAGTTTTGTTGCGCTGTTCCGCTAACTTTGGACTAACTTCCTGTTGTAGTCCGTGTAGTGCGCGTGCGCTTCGACACAGAGCAAACAGTGACGACGTGAACTTCGTCAAACATTGACACAACCACCCACTTTGACAGGTATAAGCACCATGGGCTCCAGTACGCCATATGTGGAGAGGGTGGGAAATATGAAAAAAAGAAAACAAAATAGAGTCTCCATATTTTGAGTAGCTTGGCCTATCAAAACTAACCAAACAATACTATGTTAACCTCAATATGAAGAAATCTTGCAGACAAAAATGATTTAAAAAAATAAGACATGCAGACATGATCTAAGTCATTCCGATAGTTTTATTCAGTATCATAGAATTGTCAAAATTGGTTGCCATCTCTATTAGACTATTTGGTCAATTTCTACTCTTCCCAGAGACTGGTAGAGGCTAGTTTATCCCATGAGAGGGACCTTGGTGTAGATCTGTGCCGGACCCTGGGTGGACGGCAGGTTGACTTGCTGGATCCAGCTCGGGAATACATTCCCCTTAAAACCAACCATCGCAAAATTACCTGCAATAACAGAGGAAACATAATAATATTTATAATCGATAAAAATTTAGCAATATGTAACCAATAATGATTTGAAATTAATACTGTTTGACAGCATGTTGTATTTCAATGATGTATTCTGTTGGCCACAGAGCAATTCAGGCACCCAGTAATGTTGCCTGCGAGTGTGGTGTCAGAGTGTATTGTGTATATATGCATGAGCTCTAAATAAACCATTTTACTACTACTTCAAAAGACTTTTGACAAATGCAGCAGAATTATCAACTGCTTTGGGGGAGCTTTCGAGACGCACTTTGTCGTCTTGGAGTCTTCTTGTCATGTGACTTGATGTTGATTATCACGTGACTAGAGGCAACATACCTTTGCCAGCACGTCGGCAGAACGTACTGCGCCTGCGCAGAACCCTGTATTTTCACGGTTTTCGGTGGATTTTTGGTCAACGTTGCATCAAAATTTTGCCTGTTGCAGGAGATATCTTTTCCGACATAACATTTGAAAACTACAGACGGAGTGTTAACCTTATATGCGCGAATACAACCTTATATGAGACGTTCTACCGAAGTGCTATGAACAATGCATTACGGGTTTCACGCAGGTGCAGTACGTTCTGCCGACGTGCTCCTTTGCCAAATATCATTAGTGTGTGACTCTTCGGTGACTGTTAGCCAATAAAATAGCACTGAGGATGGGCTGGCAATGAAAAATTGCAGAAACACTGTCTGCCACAAGGACAAGCAAAAACACGGCATCATTCTCATGACTACCCATACACAGTCTGACTGATTTTTTTCTTTGTCTTTTATTTATTTTTTATTTGATTTTATTTGATTTATTAAAATTGCAACAGTGCAATACCCATGGGACACAGGCTGTCGCTGGTGTTGTGTCCCGCACATAGAAACAAATACTGGACAGACAATACTCATTTTCACTTGAGTTTAGTACGCTGCCGTTGCGCCACACGACCCCATGTTTGCCTTCACTGTGTTTATTCATCTTCTTCTCTAAACAATTTAAGTTCATGACCCGGACCAAACATCTGTCACCATGGCAACTAATACTGTAGCAGACACCCTATGGTGTTGGGTTACATTTTGTAGCTGAACAGAACTGTGGGGTGCTGCTCACCACTTGTATTATGTATGTATTATATATGAATGTGTTTGATTAACAACAAACAGAGCAGTAGTTTGCCAGACTAAGCAATGTGAAGGTAAACATTATACATTTGTTTTGGAAATGTTACATTTCTAGCTTAGTATTCACCTTATATTTCACGTTTAAACGAAACATGTATGTTCTAGCATTGTTAGCACACCTTTGTCGTCCGTGGCGACGGGCTCAGCTGCACCGATCTCCCGCAGGGCCACCAGACACTCCCGGGCAAACCTGCTGGACCTGTCCCGCACGGTCACCACTACTATGGAACTGTAGGGCCACCAGACACCATCGGTACGAAATCATGTTTACCGAAGGAAAACATATTGTTTTTGCTACGTTTCCTCCTCTTCTTCTTCCCCAAACAGTGACCTCTGACCTGACTGAACCAGACAGTCTCTCACCATGGTAACTGGTGTTGGGCTACATAATGTTGCAATTTATAGTAGGAGGGATCATGGATGTAGAATTGGCAATTCTACCTCCATGGAGGGATATAGACTCCTGTCACCATATATGTGAATGTGTTCGCTTTGCAAATGTTAGTTTTCTATTTTTTATTGTGTTCAACCACAATTTTAATTAAAGCAACTGGATATTTGTTTTGAAAACTGCCAGACGTTTCAAGTAGTATCCACTACGTTTCGTCAGTGACTGTAACTTTTTGGACAACAAAGGTTCAAAGTTAAAGTTTCAAAACCTACCCAGCTGCTTGTAACAATTTTATAGATTTCATCGGCGTGTCCTATATAATGTTCCCTATATGACGTAATGTACTTAGGCCACACCAATTTAATTTGTTGGTTCTCGGATTTTTTTACGAAAACATATGAAGCGACAGGGCGAAAAAAAAAATAAAAACAGGCCTAGGCATCCTATTATAGCCCCAAATGCTACGATAGGGGCCATGAAATAAGCATAAAAGGCTGGGTTAACATTTAAACAATAAATTTTGAGCTTTTAATCAAACAACTGCATTGATAGATGGAACAACTGTAGCAACTAGGAAGAAAAGGACTTTCCTCAACTGATGGGGCCAAAATATGAGTATGTTTTAGTTGATCAGAACTAGAATTTTTTGGCAAACCATAAACAGAAATGAAGAGGCGAATCCGAGAACCAACAAATTAAATTGGTGTGGCCTTACTTGTGGGGAATGTCGTTGCGTATGAAGCTGGCCATCCTGAGGTCGATGTCTGTGTTAGAACTGTGAGTGTTGAAGGTGGCCCGGTGGGTGACTGTTCCCGACACTGCGTCAACACCCAGGACTAAGTACCCTCGGACGGTGTGATCGTACCGGGCCCCATCTATCTGTGAGGAGAAATGGCAGTCATTGAAGTTCTCTTAATTAATATTCACAACAGTTTGTAGTCATATTAGTCAAGATAACGATAACAGACGGTCATCGAAACATTGGGTTGTGTTCAACAAATTTGAAATGGTTGTGAATGAAAGAACTATTCAATTTCTCAGTAATATGGTGAAATTATTTATGGAGGAAATTGTGTCTATGTCTGTACTCAACTGTGTTGTATTTTAGCACAGGATATTTAGACAAGGTACAACGCAATCAGTTGCTTTAATGTGTAACTTCTAAGACGGTTTTCTAGCTGGTGCTGTACCTGTATGTACGGGCTATGGCTGTTGCTGTACCTGTATGTACGGATGGCAGGTGCTGTACCTGTATGTACAGGTTATGGCTGGTGTTGTACCTGTATGTACGGATGGCAGGTGCTGTACCTGTATGAACAGGTTATGGCAGGTGCTGTACCTGTATGTACGGATGGCAGGTGCTGTACCTGTATGTACGGGTTATGGAAGGTGCTGTACCTGTATGTACAGGTTATGGCTGGTGCTGTACCTGTATGTACGGGCGATGGCAGGTGCTATACCTGTATGTACAGGTTATGGCAGGTGCTGTACCTGTATGTACGGGCGATGGCAGGTGCTGTGCCTGTATGTTTATGGCAGGTGCTGTACCTGTATGTACAGGTTATGCAGGTGTTGTGCCTGTAAATACAGGTTATGACAAGTACTGTACCTGTATGTACGGGTTATGACAGGTGCTGTACCTGTATGTACGGGTTATGACAGGTGATGTACCTGTATGTACAGGTTATGGAAGGGGCTGTACCTGTATGTACGGGTTATGACAGTTGCTGTACCTGTATGTACTGGTTATGGCAGGTGCTGTACCTGTATGTACGGGTTATGACAGGTGCTGTACCTGTATGTACGGATGGCAGGTGCTGTACCTGTAAGTACGGACTATGGCATGTGCTATACCTGTATGTACGGGCTATGGCATGTGCTATACCTGTATGTACAGGTTATGGCAGGTGCTGTACCTGTATGTACGGACTATGGCATGTGCTATACCTGTATGTACGGGCTATGGCAGGTGCTGTACCTGTATGTAAGGGCTATGGCAGGCGGTGTGCCTGTATGTACTGGAAGATGGCAGATGCTGTACCTGTATGTAAGGGCGATGGCCGGGGCCGTACCTGTATGTACTGACTATGCAGGTGCTGTACCTGTATGTACAGGTTATTGCAGGTGCTGTACCTGTATGTACGGGCTATGGCAGGTGCTTTCACCTTTATGTACAGGTAATGGCAGGTGCTGTACCTGTATGTACATGTTATGGCAGGTGCTGTACCTATATGTACGGGCGATGGCAGGTGCTGTACCTGTATGTACCGGATATGACAGGTGATGTACCTGTATGTACAGGTTATGGCAGGTGCTGTACCTGTATGTACGGCCTATGGCAGGTGCTGTACCTTTATGTACAGGTTATGGCAGGTGCTGTACCTGTATGTACATGTTATGGCAGGTGCTGTACCTATATGTACGGGCGATGGCAGGTGCTGTACCTGTATGTACCGGTTATGACAGGTGATGTACCTGTATGTACAGGTTATGGCAGGTGCTGTACCTGTATGTACAGGTTATGACAGGTGCTGTACCTGTATGTACGGGTTTTGGCAGGTGTTGTACCTGTATGTACAGTTTATGGCAGGTGCTGTACCTGTATGTACGGACTATGACAGGTGCTGTACCTGTATGTACAGGTTATGTCAGGTGCTGTACCTGTATGTACAGGTTATGGCAGGTGCTGTACCTGTATGTACAGGTTATGGCAGGTGCTGTACCTGTATGTACGGGCGGTGGCCCAGTTGCAGCTCCTCCCAACCAGCGGACACCACAGTCACCTCCAGGAACCGCAGCGCAGCGTCAAAGATGATGGGGTCCTACAAATACAGGAAACTTCCAAGTCTTCGAAACACATGCTGCCTACTCTCCAAGCAAAGGTTTATTTTGGGGCGTATTTGGTTTTGTAAAGAGTCGATCCACATCTATATGGTACAATAACCTCTGACATGGCCATCTGCTTTGCATTGAGCAACACTGTCTATGAAGTATATGAAAAAAATATGTTTGGATCGTTACTTGACGACAATGACCTACTGGAAGGGACCGGGCAATGAATGTGATCATTTCTGTTACTAGTTTTTCTTTTATTTTGTTATTGTCTTACGAGACCGATAAAATGCCTACCGACTATTTCATTATCGTTTTTTTATTATTATCGTTACCATTATTATTATCATTATTTATTGTATTTAATATTTTTTCCGTGATGGTATTCTAATGTTGAGCTGGCAACCCTGGATAAAAATAACGGAAAAAAACTGACACATGGAAACTTACCTGCGCCCCACAGCCAGAACAGTCCTGTATGATGCTCATGTAGCTGGGCATGGGGACGGGCTGGGGAGTCAGGCTGTATTTGGGGTAGGCTGCGGCTCGGCAGTCGCTGGCCTGGGTATTGAATAAATGAATGAATGAATGAAGACCTTTATTGTACGCAAATACCCATTGGGTTCAGTACAGGTCACAGGAAAGACGTCACAGTTTGCAATGAATATATACAATGTACAAGCTAGTGCTAATTCTATGTACTATGGACAGTCTAATAATTACGATAATTTGGCTTCTTCTCGCTTCTTAGTAACGATGTAGAAATAACTACAATTGTTTTATTGCAAATTCATGCCCGAGGGGTAACGATGTAGAAATAACTACAGATGTGTTTTATAATCGAAGGTTTGTCTAAAGCCATTAGAAATATGAACTTATCTTTGTTGCTAAGATGTATGAAATGGGGAAACATACATTGCAATAGTTTATAAAGCTCAGCTCTCTCTTCGTTGTATAAACTACATTCTAATACAAAGTGTTCCTCATCCTCTATCCTATTTAGATTACAATGCCTACATATTCGTTGTTCCAGGGGAGTGCGGTTATGGCGTCCGGTTTCAATGAGTAGTTTTGTAGTGGCGGTCCTATGCCGTATATTGTCGAGATTTAGATACTTTTCATTGTACGTTGTACGTTGAATACGGTGGTAGACGAAACGCATTTTATCTCAAATTGTACCCTCTATAGCAATTAACGAAATGAACTCTTTGACGTAACTTCCAAATTCTACCCAAACTTTCACACATATACAAATGAAAAGAAAACTACTCTCCTCTTAACACCCGAAAACCCACAAATTACGGAAAAGAGTGGGATCCTTTGTCTTCCTCTGTCTTCAAAAAAGACGTCAAACCCAGTAGTTTTCTTACTAGTAGTTTTCAGTAGTTCTATGTGCACAAATTGTCTGTTTTTATACCATATGTTTCCTCTGTTCCTGCAATTAGCCCTCGGGCATGAATTTGCAATAAAACAATTTTTATTGTCTATTTTTTGTTTGCATATAAAACAAGACAAATTACTGCGTAGTACATGTGCATGATGAGAAACCAGATACCCAGCGTTTCTCCTCCAAAGCGATAATTCAATATCACTTATTCTAACACAGTATCATAAATCACATATAAAAAGAAACAAAAGTAATAGAAAAGCATCCAAATTTGATACCCAATAAAGGGGAACATTGATGGTCTAAATAATTAATGAAATAATACAATCACATGAAATATCAAATTTGACAAATGGCGGAAGAAATAAAAAGAAACAAAAGTAATAGAAAAACATCCAAATTTGATACCCAATAAAAGGGAAAAATTGAGGGTCTAAAAAACTAATGAAATATTAAAATCAAATGAAATATCAAACTTGACAGAAATGGCGGAAAGATGCGAAATGCATACCCCCTGCCCAGTCATGGTGGCCGTGATGACAATCCGCTCACACCCCGCATCCGAGCAGTAGTCGTCTCCGCCTCGGACCTCTTGAGCGCGCGCCTTCAGGAACAGTAGGCTACAACAGCATGTATACTATCATGAAAGTTCATCTGTGTTGGTAGTTACATGTTTAAAGTTAAAACTTTTGGTCCAACACAAAAAATTCTCTCACCTAGACTAGAGCCTTCAACCAGTCACTCTGGTCTTCCTCAGTAGACTGACCCAGTGAAGCTTGCCATATACATCAGGGCCCATCACCCTTCTTCGAACCGCGGCGGGGGCCGACATCGTCTACCAGATACCTTTGACCCAGTGCTGGCGTCACACTTCAAAGAAGCCACGTGACAAGCTTTACTGGGTCAGTCTACTGAGGAAGACCAGAGTGACTTGTCGAAAGCTCTAGGTGAGAGAACTTTTGTGTTGGACCAAAAGTTAACATTAAACAACAGAATGTTTATTTATTTCGCAAAGGAAAAACATAAAGTCTCAAATCCCCATGTCCCCTACTGGCATTTTCCCCTTTTGCCGAGGGGGGGGGGGGGTTCCTCTCAACATAAATGATCAGCATCAAATGAAATAACAAGAAATAACAAAACTTTTACATTCAACTTCGAACTAATAGTAACATATAACGTTAGTCATATTACAAAGTGAGTAACAATAATACTAGAGTCCCACGATCTCATACGTTCGCCAAATGATGTCCTCTTGATTCTGCAAATAGGATCCTCATTTGCATGAATTATATCAGTTGATCATATTCTCCACCAAAAGACAGCCTTATCGTACTTAATAACGTACTAAAATGCCACGTATTCTCACAACCGACTAGAAGTAGAGGAATAGGGCTTGCAAATTAGTACCTGGCTTATCTAACTATGCCTTTTGCAGACGATATCATTTCCCATGTGACATTTGAAAACTACAGACCTTATATGCTGCACGAATACCTTATATAGGACATTCTGCCGAAGTGCTATGCACAATACAATTCGGGTTTCGCGCAGATACAGTACATTCTGACAACGTGCTTAGTAGACTGGTCCATTCCGTGAACAAGGCTGACGGAGTTAGTCGAAAATTTCGGTAAGTCACAATTTACTTAGTGTCGGACATGACGCTTTAGCCTTTTCGTCATAATGTATTATACCAACACCAACACGGATGAACTTTCATGCTGAGTTTAACATACCCTGTGCTTTGTTCGAAGTAGAAGAGTTTGCCGCTGCCAGCCTCCACCTCAGTCAGACTGGACACGGCTGACAGGTCCTCCTCGTACGTGATTTTCTTGTTGAGACGCAGCTCGTGTTGGTACTTGATGTCAAACGTGGTTCCCGGAGGATAACACAGGCCCAGGCGAACCCACTCACCGCTACACGGAACACAAACATGCGTGAAAATGAGCACCATTTTATAATGGATTGTACACTATACGGTGATAAGCGCCTATTGCTGTTCACTTTTCTTTCCACTTGTTCAACTGATTTCAATACGTTAGATCCTATAGAAAAATTTAATCACACTTCCAGGGGAGATACATACATATATTCTGTACGTAGGATGAAGTTATCCACACATGTATTTAGCTTTGTTAGATCTCTAGTTGTAGAAGACCATACAAAAGTCCCGGCCCTGTACTTTTTGTTGTGTCAATAAAGAATCTGTAATATTAGGACGTTACGTGACAAACGGAATTTTCTGACCATTTCTTTACATTCCTATAAGTTGAATCAACCCTAGTTATTTCCAAATATCAAGTGCCATTTAGAAAATGGAGGTGACAAAATATGAGGCGTTACGAGTGTGTATAAAAGCTGAAACACATTTGTCAGCTATGTCTGTTTACATGCTGGTAGTTTGTGGTGGCACCACAAACGGAGTGCGCCTCGTGTGGGCTGTCTTAGCGCCAACCACAAATGCCAAACATGTGAGATAAATAATTACATGAATATGTCTAAAAGTGGAAGAGAAAAAGATGCCACTTTAAATAAAGAAAGACAAAGATGCAATGGCTGTAGGATTCGAATTGATTCAAATAGAACATAGAAACTGTTGTGCTCTCTATCAATAATATAATAGATACTTAGGAATATAATAGTATTATACTCCTAAGTATGTATTATGATATAGGCCCAGAATTACGTATATATACAATTCATGTCATAATTTGATTTCAGTACAATTCATGTCATGGCTACTAGCAAGCTAATCAAAGTTTTATAAAACATGAAGCATACTATGGAAAAATATCTAGAAATAGAAGATTTTAGTTTACGATAAGCAATTTGATTCAGTTGTTATCACTCAGTTAAGAATCAGCGATCACAGATTGAATATAGAAACAGGTTCCGTTCATTTTGTCCAAAGCAATTTGAGGATGAATTTCACTTTGTCGTGGAATTCATTAGATACGATGTTTTACGTAATAAACTAATTACATTTATCGAATCAAGTACAACAGATTTATATATATTCAAATGTAATAACTCTCAAAATGCAAAATCCATTAATACATAAAAGAATGTTTTATTCGAAAAAGTACCGAAACACTGCTTGATTGTATACCATACTAGCACCTGATGTTTAGTAAGTTGAACTAGGATTTTATGCCCGTGTTGAATAGTCCTTGTCATACATTGTACCATGTACAATTGTCGCACAAGAAAGTTCTTCTATGTATTGATGATTTGAATTATGAAATAATGATTTGATATGATTTGAATTACTGTTATGATTATTGTTATGATCAATGATTTCTTATGATTTGAATCTTTGTTATGATTATTGTTATGATCAATGATTTATTATAATTAAATGACTATGATCATTGTTATGGTTAATAATTCATATTATTGTTATGATTATTATTATGATCACTAATTTGGTATGATTTGAATCATTGTTATGATTTTTGTTCTGATCAATGACTTGTTATATTTGAATCATTATGATTATTTTCATGATCAACGATTTGTTACGATACAGAATATTGTTATGAATATTATTATATATGTTATGATATTTGTTATGATTTGAATAAATGTGTAATAGTATAAGGGATGGTTCATTGCATTGTATGTATGTTGTTTTGATATGTGAATAAAAAAGTTCTTTTATGTAAATGACTGAATGATAAACGGGTTACCTTGTCAAAATTGAAGAGATAATTCTTACTAAAAGTCAATGCATTGTATGTATGTTGTTTTGATATGTGAATCAAAATTTAAGAGAGACAATTCTTACTAAAAGTCAATGCATTGTATGTATGTTGTTTTGATATGTGAATCAAAATTTAAGAGAGACAATTCTTACTAAAAGTCAATGCATTGTATGTAACTATGTTGTTCTGATATGTGAATAGTTCTTCTATGTAAATGACTGACTGATAAACGGATTACCTGTCAAAATTGAAGAGATAAATGGTGACCTCCCCCGGGGCCCGTGTGTTCCAGTGAACGGTGTAGGACTGCTGTAGCGTCAGCACGGGCTGGTAAAACTTGGTGGTCAGTTCCCGCGCCCCTGCCATAGTCATGGGCCGGTCCGGGTACGCGTCACGGACTATAGTCATGGTCCGGGGCATGGCTGGCTTGGCAACAAACAGCACCTGTACATACATTAGGCCACAGTAAGTAAATCTTATGGGTGGCATCCTCCGCAGACTCAAAATCAGTAATGCGAGAGGGCGGAATAAAAACAAGGCGAGCCAAAAAAAAAACAACAACAAGATTCCTATATATTAAAATTCTGACATCATAAACCCTGTTAAGCAAGAAACGATACCTATATTGTACTAACATAAAAAATTGTAAAAAAATACATTGTTCCTTTGTGAATTCATCTACCCAGAAAAGTTTGCCAGAAACTTCCGGATCCTGCAGTTCCAGAACAAGCTGCTAGGGAGACCAAACCCACACCACTTATTACTGGCAAGAAAAAGCTATCCACCACTCAAAAATCAAGATGATAGCATGTCCAGGACAAAAGATACAAAAACCGGAAGTTTTGCCGCAGTACCAAGGTCAGCCACAAGGAGGCCCAAAATTGACCTTTACCTACCCAAAACCTACCCACATACCAAATATCATTACAATCCATCCAAAGGTTGAAAAGTTATGCTGGCTGCAAATGTGCGGAAACACAAACAGACACACACACACACACACACACAGACAGACAGACACACAGACACACACACACACACACACACACAGACACACACAGAGACACACAGAGACAGACACACACACACTATATGTGTATCACGCTCCCGTCAATATGTTTCGTAAATTTTATACAAAACCACCTGAAATCATATGGGAAAGAGATGAAAATAGAATTAAGTGGCTCTTTAACGAGAGTGTATCTGACCTAGCAACTTTCATTTATCGAGCGTGGGGGAAAAGAAGAAAACACCTGTATTCATAACACATCAACAGTTGTCACTTTTTGTTACTTCTGCACGTTTGTTTTCTCTTATTATATTTGATTTATCTTATATGTACTTGTATTTATTTTGTGAACTCTTGGTTCATTATGTACAGATTTGTTTATTTGTATTTACGATCTGCTATGAGTTCACTTATTTGTTCACTATTATTGTACATAGCCTACCTTTATTTGTGTTCATATTTTGTTTGGATTCTGTTATCTGTACCTTTGATCGGCTTTTGTTACCTTCGCCAAGAATTGGAGAAGGTTATGTTTTCCTGGCCGTGTGTGTGTGTGTGTGTCTGTCTGTCTGTCTGTCAACAGCATAACTCGAGAAAGCTTAGATGGATTATCTTGATATTTGGTAGATGGGTAGGTCTTGATGAGAGCTCGAACTGATTAGATTTTGGGCCCCCTGGCGGCTTGTCATGGTACTGCAGCTGAACTTCCGGTTTTGATATCTCATGATCCAGACATGCTAGGGTGACGAAATTTTGATGGCAGGTAGGTCTTGTGCTGGGAAAGAAGTGGCGTGAGTTTGGGCCCCCTAGTTGCTTGCTCTAGAACTGCAGGGGGGTTAAAGGACAAATGTTTAAAGGAGGATAACTCAAGAACCGCTTGATGGATCATCATGATTTTTGGTATGTAGGTAGCTTGAGTAATGCTTGACATAATGATATTACAATTATGCAAATATGGATGTAATTTGCATAATTAATGAGGAAATTCTATTAACTGCATTCCATGATAGGAAGTTCAAGCTTGTGACATATGTTATTAACAACGAGAGAAACACAGGCAGATATCGATTATGCAAATGAAGACTTAATTTGCATAATTAATGAGAAAATGTTATAATTGCATAGTGGTAACTGCCTGGAATTTTATACTTGGGGTGTTTGAAGTTTAGTGAATGTAAACATAATTTAACATAACTTATTCAAATAAGGACCTCATTTGCATAATATATGAGGAAATGCTATAATGGCATTCTTTGTTAAAATAAGACTGTTGGTGGAGATTATGATCAACAGATATAATTCATGCAATTGCGGATCCTATTTGCATAATCAGGGGGATTAATACATTGTATATAAGTTCTTATTCATAAAAGCTAACATCATTTGGCGAAGGTATGAGATCGTGGAACTCTAGTTTATGTATAATTTATTGAATCGGTGTCGTATAAGCCCACACGGGCTGGGCGCGGGATAGCGCACGACACGGAAATAAAGTATCATTCATTCATTCATTCATTCATTCATTCATTCATTCATTCATTCATTCATTCATTCATTCATTCATTCATTCATCCATTCATTCATTCACACAGAGGCAGACACGCCGAAAACAATACCTCCATTTTACATGGAGGTAAAAGTCTGATTGGAGATGAGGCATGGAAGGTTCTAGCCACACCTGTGCAAACTGTCCGCTGCAGATACTGGCCCGCCACTCTGGCTTGTCCACACACCCCGGGTTCTTCACCAGGTAGTTCTCCTGCCCCGCCACGTACGTGTCAGGGTAACCCGTGACGCTCCCGTCCAAGTCGTGGAAGATCTGGTTCTTGTCTCCGTCCCTGTCGTTAGACATGTAGGGGATGTTCTCTCCGGTGGTGAAGACGCGTGTTTGCACCTGTATGTATGTATATACAGAAGAACTTTATTGCACGACAATTGCACATGGTACAATGTATGGCAAACTACATAAAGAGAGTAACAACAATAAAAAACACATGTTGGATAAGAGCTAATTTCGAATAAAACCTAACATATCTTAATTATTCAAACAGTAAGGGCTAGATGATGAAGGGCTAGCATAAGTCTTTGATAAAGTGTTACAATCGAGTGGGCTAATCACAAGTTTCGGTATTTTTTTCTAATAACAAAGCATTCCTTTATATATCTACCTATTTTTGCGTTGTGGGAACCATTACATGTAAAGATATATTCAAATCTGTCTCCAACATCGAGACTCTTGAAATCTGTTGTACTTGATTCGAGAAAAGTAAATAGCTTGTTACGTAAAACATCATATTTGGTACATTCCATAACAAAGTGAAATTCATTTTCTATATGCTTTGCACAAAATGGACAGAACCTTTGGTCAGGGGCTACATTGTAATATCTACCTGTTTCAATATTCAATTTATGATTATATATAGTGAAAAATTGAACTTTCCGTCAACTTTTGATGTACCATTATTATATTTTATTTTCATTTGACCTCTCACATGATTTTACCTGCGTTATGTTGTTGTATAATTTGTTGTATAATTGATTGATGTCATTCTGACAATCACTCCGATTATGAGTTCTGTTATAATAATTCCATTGCATAAATTGTCATACATTTTTGTTATCTAAGTTGAGGTAACACAGATTCTTTATTGACACAACAAAAAGTACAGGGACTTTTGTATGGTCTTCTACAACTAAAGATCTAACAAAGTTAAATACATGTGTGTATTACTTCATCCTACGTACAGAATATATGTATGTGGCAAATTGCATACAGAATATATATCAATGATAACAATAAAGGTTTAACTATTCTCTAACATGTAGTCTCTAAGATTGAAACGTCTTTTGATGTATTTTCCTGTTTAAGTAATGTATTGGTTATCTCCCCTGAGAAGGTAATTGAATTTATCTATAGGATCTAACGTATTGAAATCAGTTGAACAAGTGGAAAGAAAAATGAACAGTAACCATACAGTCTAGCATGAAAGTTCATGCTAGACTGTATGGTAAATTGGTAAATTACATTATGAAAAAGTTCAACTGTTCTCCAACTCAAAATTTGACTCACACGGAATTTTCGACTGACTCACTCACTGTCTTCCTCAGCTATCTGACCCAAATGCTGTGGACATATACATCAAGGAACTTCAACCATCACTCAACCGAGACGGGGGGCGATATCGACTTCAGACAACCTTTGACCCTTTGCTGACGTTATACATCGGAAAAATCACGTGTCCACACCATTTGGGTCAGATAGCTGAGGAAGACTGAGTGATTCATGTCGAAAATTCCTGGTGAGTCAATATTTTGAGTTGGAGAACAGTTTAAGTTTTTCATAACCATACAGTCTACTTTGCTTACATCTTCAAACCTGAGTCCAGTGGCGTTGTTTTTCGGCGTCATGTGCCAGTCGTTCGTGAGCCGCCAGCCGATGGCGCTACTGTAGCGGTTATACTCCGGTGCCGAGGCGTACTTCTTAAACGTGCAGCTTCTAGCGATGCTCGGGCCGTCGTAGTAGTCGAGGCCTCGCATCGGGAAAACTCTAATGACGGACAGGAACAAACAGGTATTATGTGGGGTCGTGTGGCGTAGCGGCAGAGTGTGCGACCAGGAACCTAGAGGTCCCGGGTTCGAGTCCTGACATGCCACCGATCTTGTGCCCTTGGGAAAGGCACTTTACACGACTTTCCTCACTTAGCTCAGGTGAAAAATGTGTATTGTCCTGTATGTATTTGTCCAATGTGTAGGTGGCGGAATTAATACAAGTTGATAAAACTTGAGTGTGCCGTCACCACGTCTGGTGATTACATGTTGCAATAAAAAAAAACAGGTATAACCATCCTAGACCCTCACCCGACGCATAAAGAACAAGTGCTCCACTAGGTTCTCCACTATCTCACACAACTTCACTGTCCAAATCCCTTGTTCGAAATCTTTTTACAGTGACAGTTTCTTTCCCCGTACGGCCAAGCTTTGGAATTCTCTCCCTGACAAGTGTTTTCCACCGACCTACAGTCTACAGGCTTTCAAATCAAACGTTAACCGCCATCTCTTGACATTGCCATGTTTCTCTCATAGTTCAATGCCGAAAAGTGGTCGTATAGGCCTTGCATTGAACCACTCCGTTAAAAAAAGAGCATGCCCCTGTGTGCGATGGTCTAAATTTTACTGGGAGTTGGTGATTATCAATACTTCAAAACATGAATAAAGACTAAGCTTGAAAGTTCTTACGTTGTTTATGTTTATGTTAATGTTTATTAGGAATGTCCATTAGTAATACAAAGTTTACTAGTCTTCCTAGAGTCCTTTACATTTAAAAGATGAAATATAATCGATTACAAACTTAAAAGCTACACTTATATACAACAACAAACAGCTTAAATAACAGTATAACAATAACAATCTTAACAACAATCTACACGTAGGCCTACTTAGTTATATGCACAACAATTAAAGCTAGCTTAATTAACATAATGAAATACAGTGGAGAGGTTAGAGTTGGTGATTAACAATACTTCAAACATGAATAAAGTCAAGGTTTTGTTTTAATGACGATTTACCACATTTGTGGAAGGATTGACATAACAGGTGACTATCACCTTTTCAAGATGTCAAACCTGAGACCAGACTGTAAGGTTTGAACCACTCACACCGGGAACGTCCCCTACTCTTTTTGATAAGTGTGGTGGGTTCTTTAACGTGTGTGGGGTGTGGCTCTCCCAAACACGGGACCTCCGTTTAACGTCCTATCCGAGGGACGTCCCTAGCCGAAGCTAGGTACTCATTTTCACCTGAGTGAAGTGAGGAAAGTCGTGTTAAGTACCTTTCCCAAGGGTACAACAAGTTTGAAAGTCCTTACGTTGTGTCAGGAAAGCTCCTCTCCACAGCCGTGACCCCTCCCATGCCCCACGCCTTGGCTCCTGTCACCGTGCCGACATTCGCGCTCTCCCCGATAAATACACTGTTCCAGATCTGCTGGGTCCCACCGACGTCTTTTGGGAAAAATCCCGAACTTGCAAAATAAAACATTATAACACATGCACTAAATACCAACACAGAACGGAGAACCATTTTTTTTCACACAACCATCGCTCAATCGGGACGGGAGGCGATATCGACTTCAGACAACCTTTGACCCTTTGCTGACGTCACACGTGGGAAAATCACGTGACCACAGCATTTGGGTCAGATAGCTGAGGAAGACTGAGTGATTAAGTCGAAAATTTCTGGTGAGTAAATTTTGAGTTGGAGAACAGTTTAAGTTTTTCATTATACAACAGATTATCATGTCTTTCAATAGTTGTTTTACGTCTTACATTCTAGTAGGTCATTCTATGTTTATTATGTGAAACATGACAAAATCGTTTGTCTTCTATTTAAAGAAGTGGGCAAACCTCGTGCTTACCTTGCCATTGTCAGACCCACACCGTTATCCACATACCTGAAATATGTACATTTGTAAAGGTAAGACTAGTAATTTTACCGTGAGTTTACAATTCAATACTTGAGTATTGAATACAATTCAATACCTGTGTCTTGGAAATACTTTGAATATATCGTTCGTCTGGGCGCTTTTTGCCATAAACACAATAGACATAAAACGGTTGACGATGTCGGCCCCCGTCGCCATATACATCAGGGCGCATCACCCTTCATTGAACCGTGACGGGGGCCGACATCGTCTGCAAGATACCTTTGACCCAGTTTTGACGTCACAATTCAAAGAAGCCACGTGACAAGCTTCACTGGGTCAGTCTACTGAGGAATACCCGTGTGACTTTTGTGTTGGACCAAAAGTTTTAACTTTAAACATGTAACTACCAACACAGATGAACTTTCATGATAGTATATTCAATAGTTGTTGCTATACATTGTACCACGTACATGTATAATTGTCGTGCAATACAGATATAATATTGTCGGTCAACCGAGTACATATCCTGGGTTCCAGACCCATAGCACACTGGACACAAAGTATCTTAGTGAGCCTGGGTCTGGCCGGAAGCCTTCTGAAAAGGTCTCCAGCATAGGGAGGAGGAGTTGTGATTGATGGCCCCTCATACCACAGGTAGCCTGTTACACGATACCACAATTGGTCAGCAGGAGTTTATTTTCCAAAATAACAGCAGAACTTAATTTAACAGTAGAAGTAGTGTACAGCCCAGGCTTTCCTGTTTGTTTAGGTAACAGTCCTCTGACACACCAGGACAAAATACATCTTATTTACAGTTTTATCTCATCTGCTGGTGAAGATTCAAAGATACAGCTGGGAGTTTTTAACCAATCATAGCAGAGGTGTAAAATTACTTCCTGTGGGCCTTACGCTCAGATACTGAGCGATCGACTGGCAGGTCTATCTGACCCTACCAGACCCAGGCTCACTAAGATATTTTATGTCCAGTGTGCTATGGGGCTGGCACCCAGGCTACCAAGTACACTACTTACGCGCATTTATCGTGCCAGATATCCCCGCCCCTGCACCATTCACCGTTTAGGTTCTTGTAGGCGATCAGTCCTTCTATCATGGCGGGCTCCCGGGGCTGGCGGAGGTCCGCGTTCTGATGGGGGAAGTACCTGGGTTCATGTAGGAAACATGCAGCGCGTGTTACAGTGGGACGGTTTTCGCCCTATGGTGATTTCTATAGTTAAGGTCCCCAAAATGACTCACTTCGACGCACTAAATATCATAGTAGGGTGCACAAGCAAGGTTCAGAATTTTGATATGTTTAATTTCAGCGTATAGTGTGCAAAATTTGTGAAAATGAGCTTAAGTTTGCCGGCGAGTTCTGTTGTCACGCCCTCTTTTATTAGCGCCACTGCGGAGGTCATGGAACTGCAGCCGACGCACAGCACTACAAGTATGCAAGCGCAAATCTACGCCGATTGAACACGCACCATAATTCAACTTTTACAGTCTCAAAACTGACGTATTCCTCTAACATTTACCATAGGTTTCATGTCGATGTCATGCACAGAACAATCTCTGCACCCTTCTCTAGTATTGTGCAGCACTACTTTGTGCCCGGACTACTTCGCCCATAAATACTGTGTTGTGCGGCCTTAAGCCTTAAAATAACACAAATTCCTTCTTCTTTCCTACTGCTAAGCCCAATTAGATTATCAGAAGTTGCGCATACATCTATTCGTGTGAAAGCCCTCCTCAAATTACACATATTGTAAGTGCAAAGGTCTTACTACTTTTTGAAATGATAGATATATTGAAAATTCGGAGTTCCATGATATATGCATGATTGTGTTCAACGTCATATGGTGATCTTCATTAATAGTTAGCTTCAACCGCACATCCCATACTCGTACATTTCCTATTTAGACTTCACATAGTTATGTTTACCGAAGGAAAACATATTGTTTTCGCTCAGTTTCCTCTTCTTCTTCTTCTCCAAACAGTGACCTCTGACCTGGCCAATGACTTGATTTGTTGACGTCTGTCACCATGGTAACTGGTGATGGGTTACATAATGTAGCAATCTTATACATGTAGCAGGAGGGATTTAGACTCCTGTCTGACCATATATATGAATGTGTTTGAGTAAGAATTAACAGAGCAGACCATGTGCAAAGGTAAACATTATGCATTTGCTTTGCAAATGTTACCTTTCTAGTGTTAATTTATCATTTTTGTACAATGATTTTATTTACATAGAAAAAATAACCAATAGTAATGTTTTAGACTGTTAAGCTCCCTACATTATACGTTATTGCAATGTAGTAACCACTGGCTAGTCGGGCTGTGCCTTGACTATGTGCGCTGAACAGCCAAACCAGTTTTAACTAAAATAGATTCTTTTGACACAACAAAAAAGTACAGGGACTTTTGTATGGTCTTCTACAACTAAATGTCTAACATAGTGAAATACAAGTATGGATAACTTCATTATACGTACAGAATATATGTATGTGGCAAATTACATACAGAATATATATCAATGATAACAATAAAGGTTTAACTATTCTCTAACATGTAGTCTCTAAGATTCTTTAATGTATTTTCCTATTTGAGTACTGTATTTGTTATCTCCCCTGAGAATGTAGTTTCATTTATCTATAGGATCTATCGTATTGAAATCGGTTGAACAAGCGGAAAAGTGAACAGAAATAGGCGCTTATCATTGTATAGTGTACAATCGACAGATACGTACCCTTGTCCTGGTGCTCCTAAAGACAGGTACTCCTGCGGGGCCCGGGCGGACGCCGGTGTGGTCTTCACGCGGTCGTCTATCATGAATCCTCGCTGTGATCAGCGGTAGCGAAAAATAATAAAACATTGATGATGATGATAATATTAATAAAAATGACGATCGTTTATAAAAATCCCTCTCAGCCTATATTAGCTGAAATGTGGATTCATAACATTGCATTAAAAGTAACTTTATCAGACTGACTGACTATATAAATGTTATTAATGTAATATTTCTCAACTCAACTCAAGTCAACACTATAATATCAGAAATGTTGCTCTTACTTTTGCGTTGGAATGTACCCTGTTGTTGTAGAAGCGGCCTAGCGGGGTTCTCTCGGCCTGTTTGTTGGGCAGGGATCCCGCGGACAGTCCGGTGGGGGAATCATGGAAGATGTACCAGATTCCAACCTCCTGAGGAAGTATAGTGTATTATTCAGGTAGGGTTACACCGTACAGATGTAATATACAATCTGAGCTGACTACAATGTGTGGTACCAACCTTGGATCCTGGTCTCACCTGATTTAAAACTAGCGGGCTAACTAATTAACCCTACTAGCTGCCCTCAAGAGCTACTACTATCTGCTAATGCTAATGGTATTTGTGTGTGTGTGTGTGTGTGTGTGTGTGTGTGTGCGTGTGTGTGTGTGTGTGCGCGCGCGCGCGTGTCTGTAAACACGTTAACTTGAGAAGGCCTTGATGGATTGTCTTGATACTTGGTAGGTGGGTAGGTCTTGATGAGACCTAGAAATGATTAGATTTTGGACCCCCCAAGCGGCTTGTTATGGTACTGCAGCTGAACTTCCGGTTTTGATATCTCATTATCTAGACATGCTAGGGTGGCGAAATTTGGATGGTAGATAGCTCTTTTGCTGGTTTGTGAGTTTGGGCGTCTGTAGATGTTTGTGCTGTGTCTTACCGCAGAGCCGGCGGCTGAGTTGTTGGTCAGCACGTTGTTCGGGTGGGCGATCCAGAAGGTCGACACGCCTCTGAGTGGACCGGCAAAAAAAACCGTGGAATTGTCATGGCAGGCTTTTAGAATCTTTTGGGTGCACAGGTATGATCACAATGTTTTTGTCCATAGATCGCTTAGTAATGAAAACGATCAATATACTTCTGTATCAGTAGCGGAGTGTAACATTTAAGAATCTACTGGTTTTCCTTCAACAGTCAAGTCGATCAAGCAACAATAGGAATTCAAAATATTCGAATGAAATCTCATCTGTGTTGGTAGAATCCATAGTTATAGCACAAGGAAAGATTTTACCATAAATTCATAGAGTCAGCGAGAGCATCGATCGCAAATCTGACGAAGGTTGACGAGATCGCCCGAAAATTTGTGGCGAGTTCCTTTCTCGTGTTGGAACAAAGGTTGACATCTATAACTAAGAAATTCAAATTCATAATCAGTTTACTTGCACTCTTTCCCCGGGTTAGGCGTGTAGTCCCCGTACACGGCGCCGGTCAGCCCGCGGCACATGTCCGCATCCCGGTCAGACGGCAGTAAGGTGCCGGGCCGCGTCACCAGCCCCAGGTTATGGTCCAGCACGTTCCGCTGCTCGTTTCCGTCTTCTAGAAAGTAGCAGTGTCCGAGTGTGTCGTACCCGACAGTGTCCTGGACCTGTAAGGGCAGAGGAACAACTGTGTTACATCCGATCTGGCGCAGCAGAATATCACAAACTTCTATGGCAATCACTCGTGATCTTTATTTGCAATCGGATACAGATTTATGTACAGACACATAGTCATGCACAGATACAGATTCATGTACAGATATGCAGATACAGATTTTCCGAATGTGATGACTGAGTCAGTCCCTACACCTGAGTGAGGGTCACAGTTGACACCGTAGCCTTCGCGTGGATTTGTTTAAGGTGGATAACATGTTGCGAACCACACACTTGGGCATCCGTCTTCCCCAGCGGATGCAGATCGAGGGAGACGTGCTGGATCCGGTTGGTATGCTTGCAGCGAGCTGCCGGATGACTTAGTTACGCTGGTCTGCCTTGATCGCGCTAACCCGCCTGATTGAAGTGCCAGTGTATCACCAAGAAATTAAATTTGATTTGAATTTTAAACTGTACATTCTACACAAACCTCTACAATCATATAGAATGTACAGTTAAAATTCAAATCAAATTTAATTTCTTCGTGAGGCACTTGAACCTATCAAATACTAGTAGTAATGAATCCCAATAGAAGAAACAAGTAAACTCTGAGATTTTATACCTCCGGGCTTGTTATTGTATATTTTTATATGTTGTTTGTTATGTATAGTTGATGGTGTTGAATTTTATGTGTTAGATTTAGCGTTTCTTGTTGTGTTAACAATTGTTGCGCGCCGCAGGACTAGGGTTTCAAACAAAGAATCTATCGAGACCGGACACCCCTCTGTGCGAGGGGTCATATACGTGGACCAGACCGAGAATATTTTAAACACGCCAAAGGTCAACGGTTGCGACCATTTTCACGCTCAAAGGGGTGTTCTGGGGCCACCAAAAGGCACCATTTTCACGCCCGAAAACACATAAAAAACAAAAGAACGTGCATCATCTACAGCCCAATAGCAAAACGTATACCGAGTCCAAAAAAATCCGTCCACTCAAACGCGAGAAACAGCTGCGAACATGAAAATTTAAATCTCTCGCAAAACCCTTCCGCGGAAGGATGTCTCCTCTCCCGGAGGTAATAATATTGGCAACAGTATAAACTGACCAGCAGCCCGTGAGTGCCGTGTATAGTGACACAGCGGGAGAAGCAGTGGTGGATGGACAGGTCCCGGGCATAGGCTGGCCGGCTGTAGCCTCCGGCCTCGTCCACGTCTCCGGCCATGTGGAAGTGGACAGGGTAGCTGCCGGCCTTTCGCTGCTGACCCATCCGCGTGAACTCCGCTCCGGACAGATGCGCGTTCTTAAAACCGGCCAGAACCTACATGTGGCACAGAGATAGTCAATATATCTACATAGCTATCCAAATCTATATTTATCTATGTCTCTCATTATAATGATAAACAAGAAAGCGTTTCATGAATAAGAGATGAGGGCCTGCATGGGGGGGGGTAGTGATTACGAATTACGCAAAATTTTCCCCGCCTATTACGAATTACGTTAATGCCTCAGAGCTGATTACGACTTTACAATTTCAGGCTAATGTACTATTACGAATTACGTTGCTTTTTGGGGCGGCTGCCTTCGGATTACGACGACTAAAAAGACCGGATTACGCCTTACGAAAAAGGGAATGCAGGCCCTAAGAGATGTGTAAAAGTACAGAACTCAGCACTTTAACTGCATGGAGAGCTAACACTATGACGGGCTGTGGTCGGAACTCGCCTTGAGATGTCCTCCGTACGTGTCGTGGTTAAAGAACTGACAGAAGTTGTCTCCGTAGCAGCTGTCCTCCATCCTGCCCTGGAACCTGACGTTTCGGGTCAGCAGGCCCACCTCCCCACGGAGGTCCACATCGTCTGTCACCTCTCCGAAATGGTTGTACCGGACTTGTCCTGCGGGAAAACGGAGAAACAGACCTCCTCATACCCGGGAAAGTGTAACGGAAACATCTTCATACTAGAAGGGCCGACATTTGCTTTGGAGCAAATTCAGCATGGCTCCACCACATTTTACGACATGGCAGGAAAAGAAGAAGAATACAAGGGAAACAATGTTTTACATCGATATAACATAGTATGAAGTCACATATAACTACGAATACAACAGTTGGATAGCTATCCCTACATTATTTATATTTGCATAATGCAAACTGTTGATTTTCAAGATAAAAAATCGTTTATGCCCTACATTCCAATGCTTGAGCAGGAAAGTTTGACATACCTACCAAAACACTTCAATGCAGTACCTACTTTTAATATGGTATGTAGCTGTTCATGGAATTAACTCAATCAAAGTCCAACAGCCAATCAGCAAGAAGATTAGAGGAAAGCTGCATGCCTATTGGTTCTTGCTCTGCATGCCAGACTGATGACTCATGGATAGTTATCCCCAACTATATGATAAATTGTGACCTAAAAACAGTCAAAAAGTCCCAAATTATACAAGTTTAAGGGAGAGTATGCCAAAAATTACAATTAATTGTCGTTGGTAGATATATAAAGCATACCCACACCAAATTTCAAATGATTTGAGTCCAGCTCTCCAGGACCCAAAATGTACAGATTTTTATGTGTCTAAGGTATCCCCGGGCCATACCGACTTCAGGTCATTCGGATTTACTATTAGGGCACAGGAGTAAAAAATGTACATTTTTTGTCCGAAAATAGTCAAAAGCCCTATTTTTCACAATTTTAAAGTGGTGTATGTTGAAAGCTTGAATGAGGTTTTGTAGACATATGTCCAAGGTATCCCCATACCAAATTTCAGGTCATTTGGTTTTATTACCAGGGCTCCAGATCCCAAAATGTTTTTTGTCTGAAAATGGCCTCTCCGAAACGCCCCTCCCCCCCCCCCACCAAAAAAAATTTATCAACAAAAAAAGGAAAAAACGCCTGCGGGTATTTGGCTACTCTACCTTCATGACAACGTGCCTCCGCCATGTCTTGTAATGAATGTTGGAAATTTGGTATAGAAGGAAAACTAATCCAAATTTGAAGATTAAGCTAATTCTGGAACCCTACCGTAAATTTTGACCTGCCGATCGGAGCACTCCTGACACGGCAGCAGTGTGAACTCCTCCGCCTCCTCCATGTCGTAATCCGTACTGGCCAGCACGATGACGTCACCGGGCTGCCAGGAGCTGACGTCATCCTTCAGATTGATGATGAACTCATGGCCGTTGTTACCAGCAACAGTGAAGGTGCATCGCGGGCTTCCTGAGGGAAACAGACCTTTTCATTAAGCCTCCGTCAGACATAGCCGAAAAT